GGCATGGATCTGGAAATAGACCTGCCTCACCCTCATACCCACATCTAACTCCAGCCCACCAGAAAGAGTTTCTAGGAGAATTCATAAAGGCTTTTAGTTCATTTTGTGTCCACATAAATTTGGACAGTAAGGCACTATTTTCATGCAGTACATGTGCTAAATTTATCTTTCTTTTTATGAAATCATTTTCAGTTACCAGATAAATGTGCTGAAGATGAAATCTAGTATTTCTGTTAGAGAAAAAAGGGAAAGGAATTGAGGAATTCTTTCTACAGTATCTATCTTGTTAGAGAGTATGGAGTCTTCTCATAGGAAAGAAAAGAAGGTAATATGGACAGGAATTTACAAAGAAAAGAATTCCAATTAAAATCACTTTCAAAAGTTCAATGCTTTATCCAAATGAGAATACATTTTGTACCACTGTAGATATGGGTAGGAGGGGGGTATCCTCATGTAGGTGAAATATAGAACTTCTAAAGAAAAAGCCGCAGTTCACATATGCAAAAAGTTTAAAGAAGCACACACAGATAGAAAAGTGGGAGGCTTAAACGCTGATGTTATTTTTGACCTGTTATTCCCTTTTGCTTCCTCATCATCCATCTGATTAAAAACCGTATTGAATCTATGTCAGAAATGCTTTTCATATCTCACTTCTTTATGATCCCACTTCCACTGGTTTAGTTAAAGCTGGCTTTTATTTCCTATTCTTTGGTTAATTTAATAGTAATCCAGCATTTCTATTTACATCCAATTTTCCCCTTCTTGTCTTCATCCTAAACACTCCTGCTCTAATGTTCTGTGATTCTACCACATATGTACCAGTGCTAGAACTTGGGAGTAGATGACAGTGTTATCTTGGAGTTCAAGATACTTAAAATATGTAATTCTAAAAATAACTAGATATGATATTTCAATTTAGAAAAGCAGATTTTGAAATATTCTGGTGAAAAAATAGTTGTAAAACAATTGCTAGAAATGTACCAAGGGAACGCAGCTAAAAGATATATGTATTCCTACTATGTTCAACAATACTGATAACTTGAAGGTACAAAAGTCATGCTTGTAAAACAGGGATTACACAAAGCTGGGAAAGATACAAAGCGTGTTAAATAACAGAGTTCGTCTTTATCAGGATGTTGTAATTTCAAGGCTAGCATTTAGTTTATAAAATCAATTGGATAAAAATAAATACTTGAAGGTTTAATAAATGGCTCATGGACAGAGGGTTTGGCAGACACTGGTATGATATGATGGTGTAAAAATTTAGTGTGATCTTTGGCTATGTTAATAGAAGTAAAGTGCACATGAAGAAAAAAATATTTTACTATTTTCTGGTTTGATAACACCACATCAGTGGACAATAATGTTCAGATTGGGGCATATATTGGGAAGAAGAATGACAAATTAGAAATTGCACAAATATGACAGCTGGGATGATGAGGGGATTTGAAAACCTATGGAATGCATAACCAGGGGGAAGCATCATGCCTCTTTATTTTCTGTATTTCTGATGCTTTGATATCTGGGGCCTTGCTAGATACCTGGAGAGACTGCAGCTGCCAGAGCTAGCCAATTCCTAGACACAGCAAACACCCTCCTGAGAGCACTCTCAAATGTAAATCAAGCAATTCAGAGCTCTTAACCCCCCACTGCTTCCTTTATCAGACTCTCATGTGTTGAGGAACTATCTCCCTGTTCTAATCACCCCAGAGCCAAGTACCAGATGACTAAAGACAGCCCTTACACCCAGAACACACTGAAATTATTCAAAGTAGCGAATACTGAGCCTGCTTACCCTGTCTTGCTTACCTTTCCTGCAGAAACCACAATAAAGCCCCTTGCCCACATTTCCCCTTGCTTCCTCTGCCTTCTGAGCAACCCTGGTGCTTCCCTTTGTGGCCCTGCATCCATGGCACACTCCCTCTATTGGGAACTGTGATTAATCTTTTCAATGGCAGTCATCTCCTGATCTGTGGGACTCACCATATCTGAATAATAATAATAAAACCTACATTTTAATACAGTAATGATAGAATCTTGAGGGCTAGAAAAAATATTTACTTTTATTTTTATTTAGCAAACATTAAGTACCTACTAGATGTCAAGCACCATTCTCCACACATGACTTACCTAGAGTGGAAGAACTCCTTAATTAAATCTATATGACTTCCATACCTTTCCTTATAAATATACTGATTCTAGTCCCTTCCAAATCTTAAGATCCACTGATTGTCTTCTGGAGTGATATTCAAAATATCTACCAACCAGCATGCCATGCCACTGACCAATCAGAACTGCTGCCAGCTGGACAGCTGGAGACTCTTTCTGGGCCAGGTGCCTTTAGTTCATGAGTTATAAGGAGATTTGGAACACCTTGGGGAAGGATCTGATGTTGTAGTGGGGTAGGGGCAAAGTATTATCACATTTCGATATTGTAATAACTGGCATGGCCATACCAGTACTCTTAGTTGAATATTAGCCGTGATAATACATCCCTTAGCCATCTCTTTTATCTCTTGCCTTCTTGAATTTCCTTCAGTTATTCATTTTATGAAGTAAATTATAGACTTCATCGTATTGGCCATTTTGCTCTGAACAATGGCCAGTGTCTTTCTTAAACTGTGCTGCTTGGATTGCTCTAAAGTGGTTTACCAGCTTACTGGACTCTTTGCATCCTGACTGGAATTCTCTATTAGGATGCCTAGAATTATACTTTGTGTTCAATATCAATAAAATGAAAATCTCATATGCCTTTTTATAAAGTGTATCACTGAAATAAAAGAGATAGTATTCATTCATTCTCTAGCTGGCAAGGAAACTAATTAAAAGATCATGATATATTCCTTAAGCCAGCTAGTCTTTCAATACATTTTAAATTACATTTTGATACTATAATCTTTATTTCCATATTGGAAAAGTTAACATGCTCACTAATCTAAAAAGTTTTATAATTGACAATAGACATTCTAGCTAATGTAAATCAACAGGTTCTGCTGTACTTGGAAAAGAGAGGCAAAAAGGACACCATTTAAAAGAATGATGATAACGCAATTACAAGTACAATCTTCAGTAAAAATTTTGTTATCAGGAATACTGTTCTAATTTTAATAGTATTGTCTATAAAAGCATTAAATATCATCTGATATTGGCAAAGAATTCTATGATAAAAATACCTATTAACTATTTTATCATTAAAAATTTACCACCATTTTCCAAAATGTAGGTATAGTTCTTCAAATGAGAGTATATACCACTGAAGACTTTTTTGAGGTTTAAATAGAATATTATTTTACCTTTATAATGATATGTTATTCTATTTTCAAAACTGTACAGTAGATATTTTAAATTTTGTTGTAGGTCATTATTAATGGTACATTTAATCTTTGTTTCAGAATTCATACCTTTCAAATAAGAATCCCCTGTTGAAATTTCGGTTTACCACCTGAATTAGCCTATATTTGGTAACCAAAAAAATTTTCCAATCAACTTCTAAAGCTGCATTTCCTGATGGCTGTAAACATCAAATGCAAGTTTGCTTAAAGGATTTACTTGACCTTTCATAATAACCTATTAGAGCCTTCAAAAAATTAAAATTGATGTCAAAAATTTGTTTGTGAGTCAAATGTGTCTACATTGTGAAAAAGGATAGTAGATAAGATATATTTGTTAAAACTTCATAAAAATAGGTGTTTGGCTGTAGATGATGATAGCAAAGGCCAAAGCCCAAAAGTTTTAGATCGGAGTCTCAGATTCTTTTAGTTGGAAGGGCACTTCAAATGTCCTCTAACCCAGTTACCCATTTGAGTATTGCATCCATGACCTCCATTCTTGTTTGAACACCCATTTGCTCACAATATCAGCATGGAGGAGCACTATTCTTGCTTTCTTGACAAAATATCCATATATGGCAAAAGTGCACCTGAAGCTCTTTGTTTATTTTGGGGAGTAGATTAAAGCTAAAAGACAAATATAGGCTTCTGATGCCACCAAAAAGTATTTGGTCTTGTATATCCTCAAGAAAAAAAATATAGTGTATTAATTCTAACCCTGTCTTGTATATTTGAGTAAGGTACTGTGAGCACTAACTAAAACTTCCTAGCTCTAACAGTTGATGTAGAATACCATTCCACGTAAGTGTACCTCAGTACTCTCTCTGATCGCAAGCACATTTTTTCTTCATAATGTGCTAATTTAAACTTTTACTATAAATTTCCTTGTCCTGAATAATAAACCCTTCAGTATTAAACAGTGCACCTTGCTTCAGCAAAGGAAATGTTCCATCCATAAAATATATATGCTTACAATGCTTTTAACTGTTTAGATTGAGTCTTCATTACCTCATGCAGTCATTATGCTCTCCTGCCTGGTCTTTTCCCTCAGCCTCATTTCATTCCAATTCATTCTGGAACCTAAGACTTGTTATTATTTCAGGATGTATCTAAAATCTCATTTTCATAAGAACCATCTTGGGCCATTCCCAGTGATACTTATTTCTTTGAACTATGGGTTTTGTGTCTGTATGGTTTGGCATTAGCTCATGAAAATGTATTTCATTTGTTGGGGAATTGTTTAACATGCATATTTCTGCCTCCTCAGTGCAGCAGGAAACTCCTTCTAGACAGGAGCCATGTTTTAGGAGCTCTGATCATAATGTCATGATACATCTTGTATCTTGTGAAGTTCCTCTTAAATCAGTTCCTCCAAAACATTAAGCATAGTGGTGAGAACTCAATACAAACTCAAGAGCCACATACTGAAAGGCAGCAATACCAAAATCTTCTAAATGATCATATGGAAAAGCTGATGGAGGGGGGTGGATAAAGCAAATCACCATGGCATGTTTATACCTATGTAACAATCCTACATGATCTGCACATGTACCCCGGAACTTAAAGTATTATAATAATAATAAAGTGTCACTATGCCACAATATAAGAACCTTTTCATTTCTTTAATCGGTGTACATTACTTCAATGCAACAGTCAAAGTGAGTTACTTACTAAGGCAAATTTTTTGTTGAGAATCATCTGCTCCACCAAAGATGACTCATTGTGGAAGAGGTGGGGCTGCATATGGCTCCACATGTGAGGAAACCACCAGAACTCATCCACAGACCCCAAAAGACAGTCATCCCCTTCATCTTCCTCTTCAGTTCCTTTGGGGGGGAAAAGATTATCCAATTAATTCCAGTTACACTAATCTATGGATCTATGATCTATCAGTCAGTCTAATCTGTTCTCATATATGTATTTAGAAGACATCATTTTTTCTGTTTTATACACATATAAGGCTGCCATTGAAAATATTGGAGGTGATTTTTATCCACACAGAAGGAACATCATAGAAGAACCCACTACTATGAGAGCTAATTGGATTCAATGTTGTGGCTAAAATTCAAGTGTGGCTGCATGGTTTTGTAATGACTAGTATTATGGACATGCTTGTGGAGAAAAATCTCCTCCCATATTTTCAGTTGCAGCTCTGATGTGATTTGTTTTATTAGAGCCCTACAGGCTAAAGACAGAGAATGGACTGCTGCTCTGGACCAGTCAGCTAAACCCAGTTCCTGTTAACATTGTTTGTTCATTCAATTTCCCAAGAGAAGTTGGTGTGGAGGGTTGGCAGAGACTATTGGCAGCAAAAGAATCAGGTCCTATGATTTGGTGGGCATTGAAAACCTTTACTAAAGATAAAGGCATACTGTGAGGTTTCATGGTTATAATTTATACAGGAGAAACAAAGATTGAGTGCTATGGAGTGAGTGGAATAGCACAATCTTTCAACAAGGACAGTCTTCAGTTTCACTTTCATATGCTTAAGTACTCTACTGGATATGAAGGATCTTCCTCTCCCCTACATATAAAGATTACGTCTTTAAATCTATTGTTTTATTTTCTGTATTTTTTCTTCTTTACATACACTTATGTTACCATTGTATGGTAGAACAAGTACAGCCTTTGGAGTTAGAAGTTTTTAGTTTATTGTAGGTTCCAACACATTTGAGTTGTATGGCTGAGTCACATGACCTCTTTAATGTCTGTATTGTAAAAAGATGGACAGCAATACCTATTTTACTTTTTGGGGGGAGGTAGTATTTAGATAATTCTAGCACATATTGGGTAACTTATAATGCCCCTTTCTTTTCCTCCTGTATTTCCTACTTCTGTTCTTACTGTGTTTCCTTGCATGTCGCCTTGGGTTTTTTCCCCTCATAATACTACATGAAAGGAGGAGGTAGTTTTCACATGTGCTATGTGGCAGAGGTGACATTATCTTCAAAAACTGACCAAGTGATTATGTTAACTCATTGGCCTGATTAATGAATGAGTCACCAGCATTCTTGGAGCTTCTGAGTGGTTATCTTATGGCTCAGGGAAGGTTTATAGAGAGAAAGGCAAGAAAAATAGGAAGATGGATTCAGGGGTTTAGAAATTCTGATGATCCCAACCATAGCAGGTTCTTGGGTCCTACTAAATTTGAGGTGATAAATAAGGTGACCTTGGTAAAGAAACATTTTGTAGGTGTGACTGGTGATCTTAAACACATGTTTTGCTTGACATAAGAATGATGTCATTTAGTTTCCCTGCATTTAAACATCTATACTTCTATCCATGATACTCCCTGTTGCTTAACATTTTGTAGTCTCCAGGATGCTTTATTAGTGTCAGTTATTTGTTGCCATTTTATTTTCTCACATTGAGAGCAGGCTGAGTCTCTTGGAGTTTCCCAGTAATGGATTCATTTCTGATTTCCACATACCCAGCAATGTCAGTGAGCTAAGATTCCATAGTTGATGAGAAATATCCTCTCCTCCTGCTTTTAACCTCTATTCCCTGTTGCCTATAATTCCTGTCTTTTCTTGCAACTTTCCTGTCATCTTTCCTTTATTTTTTTTTTTAGTTGGCCTCTGTTCAAATTTATCAGAACAGAGCAGCAGATCTCAGGATTCTTTGAAAAGATAGCTCAGGCATTTGTCGTCCTTTCCTGAATATCATGGTGAAATCTGTGACTAAAATATTCATACATTTGAATCATGCAAGAGTTAGACAGATGATGTCTGCCTTCTGACATATTTGTCTCAGTTCATAGTAGGCATAATTTTATGTCTTTTCTCTTTATACGTTCATCTTTCTTTTAATCCTACTTTGAGAATGTTTTACATTAGAATTTCATTGAGAACAAGTATCTGTTGCTTATTACTTTAAAAATTATGATTAAAAAGCAGTTGAAATATAATTAACTGTGGGTTAATTACATTTGATTGGACTGTTGTGGCCTCTTGCCACCCCTTTTCTTCCCCACTTTGCCCACCTTTGTCAGAACTGGAGGAAGAGAGAAGAATGAGAAGTCAAATTCCTCAATTTTAAGTGCCATTTCTTTCTTTGTTTTGGGGGTAGGGGAAGAAGCAGATTGTATTTATTTTATTTACTTTATTTTCAATCTTTATTTTAGATTCAGGGTGGACATGCACGTTTGTTGCCTGGGCAGACTTCATGATGCTGAGGTGTGGGGTATGAAAGATCTTGTCACTCAAGTAGTGAGCATAATAAACAACAGTTTTTCAACCTTCACTCTTCTCCTCTCTCTGCCATTCGTCCCTAGTGTCTATTGTTGCCATCTCTATGACCATGAGTACCCAATGTTTAGTTCTCACTTATAAATGAGAACATGTGGAATTTGGTTTTCTGCTGTTGCATTGATTCACTTAGGATAATGGCCTCCAGCTGCATCCATGTTGCTGCAAAGGACATGATTTCATTCCTTTTTTATGGCTGTGTAGTATTCCATGGGGAATAGGTATCAGATTTTCTTTGTCCAATGCACCACTGATGGATACCTAGGTTTATTCCACATCTTTGCTACAGAGACTAGTGCTGTAGTGAATATGTGAGTACATGTGTATTTTTGGTGGAATTATTTGCTTTCTTTGGATATATAATATATCCAGTAATGGGATTGCTGGGTTGAATGTTAGTTCTAAGTTCTTTGAGAAATTTCGAAACTACTTTCCACAGTGTTAAGTGCTATTTCTTGTCACAAAACTATGTTGAAACCACATAAAGTTATTGAAAAATATAATTTATTTTATTATATTTATATAAATAACTTGGCTCTATACTATTTTATCTGTAGTGTTTCCTATTCTGATATTATATTTAAAATCATCATTGAGACAGCATTGTGTCAAGCACTGTGTTGAGTACTTTACAAACATCATTTCATTTAATTCTCCAAACCTCCTGAGGTAAGGGCCACTGCAAACCTCATTTTACAGATAAGGAAATTGATATTTAGAGAGGTGAAGTAACTGGTTCCATGTCACTGAGAGGTTTGAGACAGAACTTGAATTCAAATGCTGACTCCTAACTCAGATTGAGCAACTCCAAATTCAGGGCCCTTAGCTATCATTCACTGGCCAAACGTGGAGTCTAGAAACGAGACCAGCATTTACTCATTCAGTATAACATTGCTCTTCCCACTGTTAATTTATTCTACAGTATAATTAGAATATACAGGTACCATTGGATCTCAGTGATTTGGGGAAATACAAAAAACTAACAAACCTATAAATAAGGAGAATCTTTTGCCATTCAGCTTCCTTAATCAAGGATGGGTTAAGATTAATTTTTTTTGACACTTCATTAGCTATGTGACCTTGGGCCCCTCTAAGTTTCTATGTTCTTATCTAGAAAATAAGTTAACACATTCTATAACTTCTAGAATTCAGTAAAAAGGAACATGAGAAATGCTTAACAAAGCACCAAAAGAGAACTATGGTTTTTAATTTTTTCATCCCTTTATTTCTCAGATAAATGCACATACCCTTCAAAAATTAAAATAAACAAGATAAAGCTTTCTCTGACATAAAGTATTACAATTATGACAATGCTACTTTTCTTTTTCCCTTCAAGATTGAGTAAAATGGATAGAATTTTTTATAGAAAAAGGAATAGTAATTTCTTCATTTATGAAGGAAGACAATGTAATTCAATTATATTTTATCCCTTCTCATTTTTGAAAGATCAAGTATTAAATTTTGTATCTATTCCCTCTAAAAAATGATTTAACTGGTCTTAGCCCTGGCTACAGTTTTGTGGAAGCTCTCATATTACACACGGATAACAAGTCCCCTTCAAACCTTGGCCTCCGTTTCCACCTGTGTTGTACTTTCTCTGCCTTGGGGAGAGGATACTCTTATTATGAGCTATTGGAAATGCCCAAGTTAAGAAAGAGGACAAGCCTTGCAGAAATGAGAAGGAATGACATGAATTGGCTAAAATCATTCCCCAGTATTCAGCAATAGGCAAAAAAATAATGGAGTTGCTGGGAGCATTTTCTTATATTTATTAAGCAAATCTGGGCTGTCCTGGTTTTGCTATGATGTCTCTTCCTATTATCTCCCTCTCCTGCTAAACACATCACATATTTCACCTTAATCTTGCCTTGGTGATTTTTTTATCCCTATGATAATTTTATTCTATTCAATGGATGTCAAAGAATCTAAGATAATCATCCTAAAGTTAGGATATCCTAACCCGGAAATTTAGAAAGAGGTTATGGGTAGCCTTCTGTTTCCTTAAGCTCTTGGGGCTCTCCATTGTGAAAGTTACAAGTCTAACTTAGCTAGAAAGATGAACTGAGCTTCTGCACATAAAGTTCTCACTTCATATATCTATTGCCAAGATAGCAGAAGTTTCCTATAAGCAAAATATTTAAAATAGATCTCTAATTATGTTTTCATCTTTGAGGTTTCATTAAGAACCAATTCACTGAATCATACAACAAAGTCAAACATGATCATGAGGTTCCCGGGTGTTAATATTTAAAACAATCACAGAAAAAGTATATTTTACATGTTGATCTAAGAAATTCAGGGGAATAAAAGCTTCAGAGCTTCTTATGTTAAAGGTATTCTTAAAACCCACAGAATTTTCAAATTGATAGGTGAAGGTTACATGCAGTTGTATGATTATACATATTGTATTCATTACACAGTTGTACAATAGAAAAACACTATAGTCAAGTCTCATGGCTCTATAACTTCCATGGAAACAAATGGAAATTTACTTTAGAAATACAATATTACTTCTACCTAAAAATGGAATTACTACTTATGTTGTTTATGTGCATATGGAAATCATGTTGATGTTAGTAGTATATAGATAAAATTCTCAGTGTGATATGTTTATTAAACCCTTAAGGGTACTCATCAAATACATACAAAATAACTCTTGCTTATATTATCAATTTTAAATTTTGAAAAGCATTTGCAATTGTAGAAAATTGATAAACTTGCTCAAATATTATATCACTTTAAAAAATTACTTACATGTTTATTCATTTAGATCTGACACACATAAAATGCAAAGGCCCAGAAAAAATTTAGTAAAAAGTAACTTTCATCTCTCATGTTTGATTCTCAAATTCTCTTCTTCACTAATATTGTTTGGCTCTGTGTCCCCACTCAAATCTCACCTTGAATTGTAATAATCCCAATGTGTCAAGAGTGGGTCACGTGGAGATAACTGAATCATGGGGGCAATTTCCCCCATACTGTTCTCATGATAGTGAATAAGAAGTCTCACGAGATTTAATGATTTTATAAATGGGAGTTAGCACAAACCCTCTTGCCTGCCACCATGAAACACACCCCTTTGCTCTTCCTTCATCTTCTGCCATGATTGTGAGGCCTTCCCAGCCATGTAGAACTGTGAGTTCTTTAAACCTCTTTTCTTTATAAATTACCCAGTCTCAGATATGTGTTTATTAGCAGCATGAGAACTGACTAATACATTCATGGATATTCACTCCTATCAGTTTATTATGAATTGTTTCATAGATATCCCATACCTGTATGAATAGCTTTGTGACTGTGGTCAAGTTACTTAGCTACTCAGTAATTGAGTTTTCTAAGCCATAAATTAAGAGTTCTATACATGGAGTTGTATAGCTTTCACCTCCTTCTTTATTTTTATACAAATGGGAATATATTCTAATCACTGTACTATACCTTGATTTTGTATAGCTTTTACCTTCTATTTTATTTTTATATAACTATTCTAATCACTGTACTATACACTGATTTTTCAGTTTCTTGAGAGGTCTCTCTGTATGGTTTACGTTTAAAATTATCTCTTTTTAATGACTGCAGAGTATTCCATTTTATGAGTATACCAATAAATGTAATCTGTTTTTTTTTAACTTCTAAAAATACAGATTAATTCTTTCAATCATGAAATTGTGTTAGACTAACCTGAGGCAAGTCAAAATATCTTTACTCATTTTAATTATGTTTGTGAAAAAACTTTTTAATTATTCTCAATATTTAGAGTGATCTCTTTTCACATTTAATAGAGGAATCCGGAATCAGAGTCCACAGTTATATGGCCATAAAATTTATGATAATAAGACACTATGAAGCAGTTGGGAAGGATGGTGTTTTTAATACAGAGTGCTAATTAGATTTTTTTAAAGAGACAGAGTTTTGCTCTGTGCTCAGACTAAAGTGCAGTGGCATGATCATAGTTAATTGCAGCCTAGACCTCCAGAGCTCAAATGATCCTCCCATCTCAGTCTCCCAAGTAGCTGGGACTACCAGGCACATGTCACCATGTCTGACTAACCAATTAGATATTTTTATGAAAAAAAGAAACTATACTGACCCCTATCTGATATATATACCAAAATCAATTCCAGATGTATCACAAATTTATAAATTGAGCAGCTTGGGCAACACAGTGAGACCCCTTCTCTACAAAAACATCGTCCAGGCATGGTGGCATGGGCCTGTAGTTCCAGCTACACAGAACGCTGAAGTGGGAGGATTGTTTGAACCCAAGAGGTTGAGGCTGCAGTGAGTTGTGTTTGCACCACTGCACTCTACCCTGGGCAACAGAGCAAGACCCTGTCTCAAAAAGAAAAAATGTCATGATCTGTGGTAGGCAAAGATTTCTTAAATAAGATAGAAAAGGCTGATCATTTAAAAAATGATAAATTGAACAACACTAAGTATTTTTGTTCATTAAAAACACCGTAAGGAAAATGAAAAGACAGCCAAACAGCAGGAGAAAGTACTTGCAGCATGTGGAACTGTAAAAGAAGTTCAAGGAAAGAATTTCTACAAATGATTAAGTAAAAGCAGAAAATCCAGATACTTCTCAAGAGAGGATATCCAAATAGCCAGTCAACATATGAACAATTATCATTTACTGCTCCTCACAGAAATGTACATTAAAACCCTAATATGATATTTCTACATGTTCACCAGAAAAGCTAAAATTAAAGAGACAAACAATATAAAATATTAACAAGCATAAAGAGCAACAGGAACACTCATACTATTGGGAACATAAACGGGTACAACCATTCTGAAAAATACTAAAGCTAATTATAAGTGTGCCACATAACTAGCAATTCCATTAATAGTTGATGATTAACAGAAAAGAATATTCAAGTCACCTGAATGACAGGTATAAAAATGTTCATAACAGGACTATTCAGTAAAACCCAAAGTCTGGAAACACCCAACCATCTACAGTTGAATGGACTAGATAAGTAAATTTTCTATGTTCAAACAATGGAATACCGTACAGCAAGGAAAAGGAAAGAATTGTAACCTATAGACAATAACATCTATGAACCAAAAATAATGTTGTACAAAATGAGCTGGATACAGATGAATCTTTATGATTCCTTTTACATATCTCTCAAAGTCAAGCAAAATTAATTCATGATATTAGAAGTCAAGATACTACTGTTCTTTGAGAGAAGCTAGTTACTGTGATGGGCTCAAGAAGTGGAGATTTTGGAAGTGTTCTCTTTCTTGATCTGCCTGCTGTTTACACAGCTGTGTACACTTTGAAAATTCACTGAACATCACATTTACTATTTATGTACTTTTATATATGTAAATTATAATTCAATAAAAATGAAAAGCCATCAGATAGTGCCATAAACTTTTAAACCATTAACATTTTACAAAAATTAAAAAAATAGCATGTTAAATGGAATTGAATTATAAAAAGTTGAGGAGGGACATAGGGAATGTAGGAAGGTGTGAGCAGAGTGTGCAGTTTTAAGTAGAGTGTCAGAGAGATCTTAATGAGAACAGTTAATCCTTTTTTCTTACCTGTATGATAAAATTTCCCTGAAAATCCCAGGTTGAATGTAAAATTTGTGATTTGTGCACGCAGAAGATTCTGAGTATCAAGCAGGGCCTGAAATACATAATTTAAAAAATATATCAGGTAAAGAATGGCATTAAAAAGTTTTCAAAAGATATTTCCTTTTTGCATTCAGAGGATAAAACCAGTTCATTATATATGTGAGAATTAAATGAGGGAAAATAGTTTCGTTATCACTTTAAAAGCAGAGAGATACTTTCAAAATTACATGAAACACATACTTTTTTTATCCTTTAGCTTGCAATAAATCAGCAAAAAGTGTCAGTTGGAAAAAGAAAGTTAAATGAAAAGAGAAGTTTATTCTGCATGTATCAAAGGAACTAGTATCTAAATATCTAAATATATAAAATATATCCAGTTTACCCTTCAGGCACATGGATCACCAATTGTCAAAAGAAGGGCACTCATTTTAAATGAAGCTATGCAATAACATATGTTGAAAGAAACAGACTATTTCTCAGCAAATCTTTGGTATTTAAAATCCAAATCTGAGATTCCCAAAAGATAATGATTGTTATTCAAAAGGAGATATCATGATAAAGTAGATCTCTAATTTGCCCTTTCATTAAAAAAACAGACAAAATATCCTACTTCTAATAAGTGAAGCTATTTTGAATTAGAGTTTTAATTGTTATATCTTATAAAATATTTACCATGCTGAGTATTTAATGTACTTTTCTTTCTTCTTTTTTCTTTCTCAGTCTTACTTAAATTCTGATTCTTATATTCTTCCTCTGTCTCCCTCTCTGTCTCCGTCTCTCATTCACACACACATACATTTTACACATATACACACATAAAATAGTTGAGTGCTCACTTCAACTAGGCAGAAAGTAGTGCTGTTAGATTTATAAATGATCTTTCATAGATAAAATTAGTGGTAGATCCTAGCTTAAGGATATAGATCCAAATTAGGCGCTCCTTTTACGCTACCACACCTTATCTTCTGCCTTTCCTTAGTACAGTTGGGCCCACAACTAAATCTTATTTTCTTAATCATGATTCTGACATCTGGAAAGTCTGCCTCATCATGTTCATGGTCCCAACTTTTTTGGAGCATAAGCAGATATACAGTTTTTTATTCATTGACTACTGCATGATTATATGCTTTATCTGAATGCAAGATATTCTTCTTGATTGTAAAAGCAGAGGAAGAGAATTTCTGGATTCAAATTTAAACTTATCTAGCCAATGTAAGGTTTTGAAATTTAGCTATCTAATTCTTTTTGTATCACTAATCTCTTAACATGACCAAGATTTTTGGTGTGCACAACTGAACCATGTAATGTGTGCATTCTAATGACACTCAAAAATAGAAGACAGGCCTATTGGTGGATCTCTACACCTAACTATGGGAGCAAAAGAATTAACTGACATCAATGTCATCAGGGACAAGTTAGGTCCTTACAAGGTGGGGCATGGGTTAGGTGGGAGAGGGGGGATCCAGCCAGCTGGGCATGATGAAGTTACAAATGGGACTTCTAGGTCAGATGCTGGACCCTGGTGTGGGGAAGGATGTGCCTAGGTGTAAAGTATTTAGTATACATATATAAGTGTGTGTATATGTATACTACTGACAGTTATAATACACACACATTTTGTGTGTGTATGTATATGTATCCTGCTGACAATTTTATCTTCCCTTTCTTTCTTCTCCCCTTCTTCTTTCTCAATTATTTTGTTCCCCAGTTGAACATTCTAGCCTGCTCTTCCTATCTTTCCTTCCCCTTAGATCATATCTTTGTTCTTTTTCCATTTTAACTTACTTCATTTCAGTCTCTTATTTTTCTTCTTTCAGTGGTTAAAATATAGATGCCAAATCTATTTGAAGATTACTTTTTTGTGTGTTCAATGTTTTAAGTCTTACAGTTGGTAAGATGAATATTATTTCTTTTTGCCTTTCTTTTTGTTCAAATTAAATTTGAATTTGAACTTTGCTTTATGATCTTTGATTGTATTTTTAATGTACATTTGCAAAACTTGATGAGAAAAACTATATATAAGAAACCTGTCCTGTTCTAGGCCCAGAAGCTAAATAAAGTTCCTGTGAACTAACCTCTCAGTCAACTAGAATACAATGATTTAAATTACTAAATTAGCCCAGAATTTGCAGATTTGAGTTGCCATTTTACATATTTACTTAATATTCTAGAAACAAACACTACAACACATAAAAGATACACTGAAACAGATGGCAGATACTAATTATGCCTATATATGGTAAAGAGGGGAAATTTATTTCTAGGTGATATTTTATATACTTAAGCAGTGATATTTGTCATCTTTTATGTTGTTTTTATAAACCAGATTTTGTGGGCATTTGTGAGAACAATGTTATATATTCATCTATTATTTCCACCTTTTCAAAATATATTTATTACTGGCCTAGCCCTTGCAAAAAGCTTAAACACCCAGCAATATTCTTAGATCATATCTATTTCACTAAACCCTTCATTACTAGAATGATTTGATTCAGCATTATTCTATTTTAAACTGAAATAGTCTACTCATTACTATGAACAAAATATAAAAATGATGTAAAATTATACATTATTCTGTATATGCAACATGCCTAAAATGGGGTGATCATATCTAAAAATCTAATATAATAAGTCAGTGCTCCACCACCACAGTCAGAAAACCACATGTATTCTGGGCAAGCACAACCTGTCTGACAGAGTACTGTGGACATGGAGAAGGTAAGAAATCATGACTGTCTGAAGAGCTACAATTTAGTGATCACCTCAAATACCAATCCAGGAACCCTAAGAACATAGATTTCTATCTTCAAAAGTGGTTTGATTATTGAAAAAAATGGGACTTTTGTTTTTAATTATTCCAAAATACTGTATTATATATAGGAGGGTAATTTAAAATTCCATGTATCAATGGTTATTTTTAAAATAACATATTTTTTCTAATTAAAAATAATTAAAATCACTAAAAAAGTATTACAATGTGTTTTCTTTCCATTTTTCTCAATAAGTAAACAAATCTATATATCTGTATTTACAGATATATAGGTAAATTGGTATCATAAAATAAAAATTGGAGCTATACCAATCAGGATTAAAAATAAAGAGTTTTGAATTTTTCATTTAACAGTATATCATGATCTTTCTCCCATCACAATCTTTCAAAACCAAATTTTCTAAAGTATGCAGAATATTGTATCAAATGAGTATACTATAATTTATTTACCCATTTTATCTTAATGTTGTATATTTAAGTTGTTTACTTTTTTGACTAATATAAATACTGCTCTGTGTATCAATACATATTTATATAGTTATAAACCTTATAACCGTGTTTTGGACAACAGTGTAGCACATATATCATGGTGGTCCTAGGTGTGTAGCAGGCTATACTATCTAGGTTTGTGTAAGTATACTCTGTGACGTTTGCACAACAGCAAAATTGGCTAACAACACATTTTTTAGAGCACATCTACATCATTAAGCCACTCATGACTACAGCAATGAAGCAATCATTTCTACAGCAGAAAATAATTCTGTGTATCCTTTAGCAAACAAAACATTTGAAAATGCTTATCAGAGTGTTACAAGAGAATAAAATATGCAATTTAATTATACAATAATTGCATTTCAAATACAATTTAACATAAAAATTTCAAAATTATCTTCCAAATTTTAATATGTGTGCTAGCCCGTTAACTTTGTTTCTTTTTCAAGTCTTCATTCTGCAAAGCTAAGAAAGTTTGCAGGCATTAAAATATCTAGTCGAAGACAAAAAAAGATCTAATTTAAAGAAACTGAGTTCTGAGAACTGAGCAAAATGATAGCCTTCGCCTTTTCTCTAACTTTTGTTAGCAGAAGAAATCATCAAATAGACGAAGAGGCGAAAAATAAAAGTAATTGCAAAGAAGTTTTACATGAAGATTTATGTTAGTGTTCATGACGTGTGGCATTCTTGGAATGTCTTGATAGTTTTTTGTTTCTTATTTGCGCTTCTTAGATTATATTTTGACCTATGTTAACAGACAAAAATATTTTTAAGCACAGTACTTTAATATTTTAAAATCAATCATATACTATTTAGATATATAAATGTCTATATTTGCTAGAGTAAATGAAATCAACTGGGCAGCTAATGATAAGCTCCTATGCCTACATGTCTGTCTGCACACACACGTACATGCACATATACCTCCTCCAGGTGTCAGATATACTTAGTGTAGTAGAGATTACTGTTCCCATTTCAGAAGTGGTAGACATCATTTACATAGTTTAAGTGGCTTTCCCTTGGTCACGAAGCTATTTAAGAGCTAAAGAAGTGATTTAAACAAGGATTTTAAACTGCTTCTGTTGTCCATGGAAACAACAAAATACCAACATGAACCCTTTTATCACTGATATACAGAACTGTGGTGACATAATCTTCCAGAAAGGAACACAAGGATGCTCTTTTTTTCCACTTTCACTATGTAACTGTCACTTTGTGTTTTCAAAGCCTAAAGGTATGACGGCAATGGGAAGACTAGGTTGGTCAGTGAATAGTTAGCTATATTATTTAGGATTTTCCAGAGATAAAACCGACTGGAAATAGATACGGATATAGATACAGGAGGACATTTATTATAGGATTTGGCTCATGTGGTTTTGGAGGCAAGCTGGAGAACTAAGAAAGCTGGTGATATAATTCAATTTGCATCTGAAGGCCTGAAAAATTGGTGGTGGTGGTGAGTGATGGTGTAAGTGCCAGTTTGAAAGCCTGAAGCCAGGGGTACTTATGTCTGAGGCAGATAAAGATGGACACCTCAGATCAAGCTGAGATAGTGAATTTGCCCTTCCACCACCTCTTTGTTCTATTCAGGCCCTCAGCAAACTGGATGATGCCCACCACATTGGGGAGGGCCATCTACTTTACTCAGCTCACCAATACAAAAGCTTACTTCTTCCAGAAACACTCCCACAGACACACCCCAAATCACGTTGTGGCAGCTACATGGGCATCCCTTAGCTTAGTTACATTTACACATAAGATTAGCCACTACACCAGCCAAACTAGTAATG